ATATTAAATTACATCCGAAATGCCTTTTTCAAAGGTTATGAATAATTAATAAACATTTTGCATTTCCGAGCTTCTTATTTATTGGCCCATTCACATATTTATACTGTATTTGTTTTACATTATACATCTTCCGCGAGTGAATTATTCGTTTTTAGATTTAGTTTTACCGAGTTTACTTCCAGGTGCAAGATCATAGTGTCAAATATGTGCACATGTTACAACAACGTACACCTAGGACAATACTGTAGATCGAACAGTTGTGACATTGATTTACAACTGTTAGTCTTCCATTTAACAACAGATGGCGCACACAAAGATACTTGGAAACTCTCATGACATGTTAATTTGATTTGCCCTTGTTCCATATATTACCATCTGGCTACAGTAAGACTGAAAAATTTGGTAGTTACCCTCACTCTTCAAACTCCCGACCTTAGATTCATCGATATGAGAATGTAGGGGTTAGGAGAAGGTCCAGAGAAGTTGAAATGAGTGCGTGATTATTCCATTCAAGTAGACGAAACCACAAGAAAGACAGAGTCGTATCTCAAATGTCGTGACTTTAATTTTAGATATTTTGCACTCTTCAAAGCTTGGGCAAATTTATACTAAATTGAACGTCTTATCATTAGTAAGTAGATCATCATTGGAGATGCAAGTAAGACAAGTGAAAAACAAATAGAGAAATAGAAATGATTGTACAGTTCGTACAAAAGGAAACTTTACAATTGAATTTAATAAACTGTCATCACTCAACGTTTAGCAGCGAGATGGTGATGTGATTGAGACCTTATCTTAAACAGGAGCAGCGGGTTTAAAGGGCAAGAAGAGACCTTATCTCAAACAGGAGCAGCGGGTTTAAAGGGCAAGAAGAGACCTTATCTTAAACAGGAGCAGCGGGTTTAAAGGGCAAGGAGAGACCTTTTCTTAAACAGGAGCAATGGGTTTAAAGGGCAAGAAGAGACCTTTTCTTAAACAGGAGCAATGGGTTTAAAGGGCAAGAAGAGAC